TTGAAAGCCATCACGCAAGTCGGATTTCCAGCTGCAAAACGCGTAGAAATGAATGGCGGCTTCGGTGGGGATCGCTTCCACAATGCCAAGAAAGATATCTCGAGGGGGTGTGGTGGCTCCCTGGTTAACCAAACCCACCCTTGTCTGCCTTGACCCCCAGCCCCACTCTCTCTTTGGACACCTCGGGCGCCGTGGTTTTTCAAACAGGCATTTAAAAGTTACAGCTCTGGCTGAGACTTTCATGACTTCCCCTTTTGGCTTGTATACCTGGCTTCTGGAGGCTTCCCTTCAGCCAAAGGTCTGGCAGGGAGAGAGGGACGGGTGGCTTGTGCCCTCTTTCTCTCTCCCCCCCTTCAAATATATGCCTGACACCTCCTTTTCCGCCCCACCCATCGGGTCCGGAAAGGTCAGAGGTCGGGCGGCCTCGAGTGGCGGAGCTCGGGGTATCAAAGCTGACCTGCAACTTAATATTCTGCTGATGAGCCTGTTGAATTTACGAGGGTCGAGGATGACACCGGGCACAATGGGGACCAAACGAGGCCACGGCTTGGAGTGGGGGGAGGTGGAGGAGGGGGCGATCCGCATCCAACCCTCACCCCACCCACCAGCGGGGTCTTTTGGGGTCAATCGGGCGATGTTTTCCCTGCTTTCCTGGCTTCGCTCACATTTTGACATACCTATTTTGATCATACACTTCATCCTTCGCCTTGGAAACAATGGGGACGCACGTTTGCAGCGCTCATAGCATCCCAAAACAATCAGGAAGGGCGCTTAAAGCCAAAATTAAGCACCTTTCGAGTCATCCTCCTTAGGCTGAAACTGGAAGGAGGTAGAAACAGCCTGGTTTCCTCCATGCATACCTTGAAGGCGATCAATCTCAACCTTTCCTAGCAGTCAATAAATCCAGTTAAAATTAATGGTACTTGTATCAGATATATATATATATATATATATATATATATATATATATATATATATATATAATATATATATATATACACACACACACACACACACACACACACCACACACACACACACAATATATATATAAATATATATATATGAGAGTCATATAACCCAGAATATCAAGGCAGACAATCCACAAAATAATAATAATAATAATAATAATAATAATATAAATAATAATAAAATAGATAAATAATAATAAAATAAAAATTATAAAAATTATAAAATTGCTTTAATATCTTATTTGAACGGGGTTATCTGAATCCACACTGCCAAATAATCCGGTTCAATCTGGATTTTATACAGCTGTGTGGAAGGAGCCTAAATTAAGTCCTTAAAATTTGTTGACATTTGTTGACATTTGTTGACCGATTTGTTGACATTTTGGGAGAGCCTAAAGCTGGATCTACACTGCCATAGAATGCAGCTTCAGAATGCAGATTAATTGGATGGTATGGCAGTGTAAACTCATATAATACAGTTCAATGCCGTTCTAAAACTGCAGTATATGGAGGTGTAGGTCCAGCCTTGAATTTTGCCTACGGATGCCTTTCTCGAGCTCCACACTTTTGCTACATTTTGCAGAGCTGGTTTGCTGTGAGTTTTCCGGGCTGTATGGCCATGTTCCAGAAGCATTATCTCCTGACGTTTCGCCTCCACCTGTGGCAGATAGACCTCTCAACCTCTGAGGATGCCTGCCACAGATGTGGCAGAGGAGAGAATGCTTCTGGAGCACGGCCATACAGCCCAGAAAACTCACAGCAACCCAGTGATTCCGGCCACGAAAGCCTACGACAACACATTTTGCAGAGCAATTGGGGAGAAAATCCAGTCCGCTCCATTTTAGCCCTATCTCCACCCGAACCTGCAAGTACATTCAGTCCAACACGGGGATTGTCTCTCGAGCAACTGCGTGTAAGGATCAGGTTACACGAAAGGAAGGGATCCACGAGGCAGAAACGCCTCTAAAATGAGAAGAGAAATGCCTGTTGTGTCCTCAGTTGAGTCAGTGACACAGGCTCCAAGGGGCCACCCAGTGAACCAAGGCTGGCACCTGAGGCGACCCAGGAAGTTCGCCCCCAAGGCAACGCGTGGGGTCGCCCACTTCCCGCCCCCACCCCTTTTCTAACTGGAAATGTCCCCAAGCGGGAGCGCACCGGAGAGGCAGGAGGAGCACTTACAGAACCAGAGGCCCCCAGAACCGCGGTCGTACCTGCTGCGGAGCGGAAAGCGAGGAGGGACGAGAGGCCTCGGAGGGAGAGACCTGTTGCGGCGGCGGAAACGCCGGTCCCTCTTCGCCTCGGACCTCCCAGCCCCTTTCTTCCTTCTTTCCTTCCTTCTTCCCCTCCCTCCCTCCCCGAAGGGTGGCTTTTCTTCCCCGGCCGGAGAATGAGCGGGAAGGGCTGAGCGTTTTTATAAAGCCACCAGACTCCGGCCAATGGCCCCTATGAAAGGGACGGCGGGTTCCTCGCCCAGCCCTTTCTCTCTCCACCCCTTGAGCCCTTTCCCTTGCCTTCCTTCTCAATCCCCCTCCCTGAAGGCTTTTTTGGCGGTTTGGTGAGAAATAAAGCCCCGGGAGGAGAGAAAAAAAAAGGGGGGGGGGAGAGAAAGGGCCGGCGATTTAGCTTTGAACTTGGATCAGCCCCTCTGTGTTTCCTGCAGGGAAGGAAGAAACGGGAAGTTTTGAAAGGAAAGGCAAAGTTCCAGCGGGTGGGGGCTCTGGGTTTGGCCCAGAAGAGGGGTCCCGGATGGGCCTTAGAAGCTGGGAGGGGGGATACGAGGAGAGACAGGGAAGGAAGGAAGGGTGGAAGAGGAGCTGAGTGAATATATATATATTGAAACCCATGTTGATATCCACATATTCTATGTCCTGTATGTGTAAAGAAATTCCCAAGTCTGTTACAAACACAGGAAACATGACTCCTGTTCCTCCAAAGGTCCCATTAATGCCGGTGAGATTGATGTCCAAGCCTCTTGGGAACTGCCCGCCCAGCGATGCCCACCACGCAAGTTGTCGTCACGTTGGAAAGTGCGGACACAGCCACGCCAATGTGGGGGAGGGAGGTGTTTCTGACTGCTGGAAACGGGGTGAAAACCAGGCTGCCCAAAAACCGGGTCAAGAGGAGCCTGCGAGGTGGAAAGGGAAGGGAAGCAGGAGGCCAAGTCAAGGCAGGGCATGGGCTCTGCTTCTGGAAGCCCCTTGGTCTTGTTCTACCTTCAAGGGTCTGTCTTCTAGAGCTCTGCAACTGCCAAGTAGGTCCATCCAGGTCGATGGCGAGATAGACAAAGAACCCTTATTTGAATACCCGAAAAGAACCATTTTGGCATCTTGTCTAGCTGTTCGTTTGCTGTTTGTTTGACTGTCTGGTTCATTTATGTGTTTACCCACCACCCTTCCTTTTTATTCTTGTTTTCCTTTCTTCTCGGAGGCCACCTCGGTTTAGCACAATAGAACAACACAAGAAGCTCCTAAGAACAGTCCCGGGTTGGTCTGGGAATGTTTTTTTGGATACCTTTGAAACACAAGACAGCCCAGCCCATCTCGAGCATCCCTATATCTCAATGTGCTTGAGAAACTGCAAGTCGCTTCTGGTGTGAAAGAATTGGCCTTCTGCAAGGAGGTTGCCCAGGGGACGCCCGGATGTTTGATGTTTTACCATCCTTGTGGGAGGCTTCTCTCATGTCCCCGCATGAGGAGCTAGAGCTGACAGAGGGAGCTCAACTTGCTCTCCCCGATTCCAACCAGCAGTCCACTACGCTACTGGGAGCTCTACATTGCCTATAATCTATGGAGTTAATCTGAATTCTGGGACTGCACTATATGGCAGTGTAGACCCGGCCCCAGTGACAGCTTGGCATTTTGTTTTCCAAACAACGCATCCCTGGATTTCAAAATGTGACCCCCCCCCCCCGCCCAGGTGATTATCTTTTTCCCCTACAGCATTCGGAAATCCTCTCTAGGTCAAAGTGTCGTGTGTATTTTGAAGTCACAGATCACCCTAAAGCCTGTTTTGGCTCATTTGGGTGACCAGCCCCCACCAACACGCCACAGCGAAAAGGTGGTTTGCACCTTCTGCCACCTTCCTCCCTGGCCCCGAGGCCCTCTCCTGAGAGCCAGGGGCACAAACCCTCCTCTCTCCCGCACTTCCGCCCCAGGCTTCTCCATTGACACAAGTGTCAGCAGCCATCGAGATCCCCCCCATGGAAGGAGGCTGGGAGACTTGGTTGGCTGGAGGAGGACTGTTTTGCAATCACTTCCACGTACAACAAACAGTCCGATTGCCCATCAAACGGGGGGGTCACTTGCCCCCATTCCTTCCCCCCTCCACCTTTGTTTCCCCCTCCACCCAGAGGCTCAACCCTGCTCTCCTCCCCCTTATCCCCCCTTTATTTCTCTCTCTCTCTCTCCCTCGCCTTGGCCAGGAGGAGGGGAGGGGGGCGAGCGAGTGGCTATTAGCCCGCCGGAGCGAGCGAGCGAGCGAGCGCTCTGGGAGGGGTGGGAGAAGGGCTTGGATTGACAGCCCCCTTCTGACCAATGAGAGGGCGCCTGGAGGCCGGCCCGGCTGCTGTTAAAGGGGGCGGTGGGAGAGGAGCTGCCAGTCCAGCCTGGGAGCCATCGAGAGCGAGGGAGAGGGAGAGGCGGGGAGGGGAATGGGGTGGGAGGGGGGATAAAAAGCCGCCTCAGCAGCGGCGCCCAGCGCAACCCGCCGGAGAGGAAGAGAGGAGAGAAGAGGAGGAAGAGGAGGAGGAGAGGCAAGCCGAGATCCTCCGCCGCCAAGCGAAGCAGCCTAGCACCCGGGGAGGACCGCTCCCCCCTTGCACCCCCCTCCCTCCAAGAGGAGGAGGAGGAGGAGGAGGATCCGCCGCATCGCCCCTCTGGGCTGGAGGAAGAGGAAGAGGAGGAGGAGGAGGACCTCTCCATGGCGGGACCCGCGGAGCACTGACGGGCATTGAGCTCCCCCTCTCTCTCTCCAGCCCCCTCCTGCCGCGCCCGGGTTATTGTTCTGCCTGGCCGCGCTCCTTTCTCCCCCCCCCTCCTTTTTTTTAAAATCCTCATCTTTCTCCCCTTCCTCCTCCTTCTCCTCCTCCTCCTCCTCCCCAAGTTGAGAGAGAAAGAGGCTCCGGATTCCCTTTTCTCTCCCGGCGGCGGCAAGTTTGGACTCTTTGGAGGCGAATGGCGGGGAGGAGAAGAGGAGGAGGAGGAGAAGGAGGGGGAAGCGGAGGAGAAGAGGAAGACGCAGCCTCAGCCGCAGAAGAGCGGGAATAAGAATATCCCTCCTGTTCCTTTTTTATTGGTTTTGTTTTTTGGAAAGGGTGGGAAGAAAGAGGAGAAGGGGTGGGGCGGTGTTTGTTTTTTCCGCGCTGGCCTCTCTCCCGGGCGCGCTCCCGCGTGCGGCGTGTGCGAGGAGGGGGGAGGCTGCTCGGGAGCGCGCGCGGGGCGTGTTGTAGCTATATAGCTCCTCCTGGCTTGTTTGTGTGCGTGCGTGCGCGAGGGAGACGGAGAGGGAGAGAGAGAGCGAGGGAGAGGCTGGGCTGCGAGAGGCTGCGGTGACATCTCTTCTGCTTCTGCTTCCTTCGGGTTTGTTTTGCTGGCCAGAGAGAGAGAGAGATTGAAGGAGAGGGCGAGGCGTGAGTGCCGTTGTGTGCTTCTCCCTCTTCTCGCCCCCCTCCCCCGCCCCCTCCTCAACCACCTCCAGCCTTTCCTCTTCTCTCTTGCTCGGCCTCGGCTTGAAGGAAGGCGCCGGAGGGGCGATGCTGCTGGACGCGGGTCCGCAGTTCCCCTCGGCGCTGGGGGTGGGCTCCTTCGCCCGGCACCCGCCTCCGCCGCCCCCTCCGGCCCCGGGACCCCCCTCCTCCTCCTCTTCTTCCTCCTCCTCCTCGGCCTCCGAGATGCAGGACCGCGAGCTGAGCCTCCAGAACAGCTTCGTGGACGCGGCGGCGCACCTGGGCGCCTTCAAGCTAAATGTGGCGGCGGCGGCAGCAGCAGCAGCGGCCCACGACCTCTCCCCTGTGGGGCAGGGCTCGGCCTTCAGCTCCCAGGCCTCGCCTTACTCCCACGCCGCGCACGTGGGCTCCTACCCGGCCCCACCGCCGCCCCCGCCGCCCTTCAACTCGCCCCGGGACTTTTTGTACCGGAGCCGCGGCTTCGGGGACTCCGGGGCCGGCGGCGGCGGGGCGCAGCACGGCCTCTTCGGAGCGGCCTCGGCCCACGCGCAGCACGGAGGCGAGCCCGCGCAGGGACACCTGCTCTTCCCGGGTCTGGCCGAGCAGCATGGCGTGGGCGGTGGAGGAGTCTCGGCCTCCGGGAACGTCCTCAACGGGCAGATGCGGCTGGGCCTGGCCGGGGAGGTCTTCGGGCGGACGGAGCAGTACCGGCAGGTCTCCAGCCCACGCGCGGATCCCTACGCGGCGGCGGCAGCAGCGGCGGCAGCGGCGGCGGCTCAACTCCACGGGCAGTACGCGCCCATGAACATGAACATGGGCATGAACATGAACATGAACATGGCGGCGGCGGCGGCCCACCACCACCCGCACCCCCACCACGCCCACCACCACCACCACCATCCGCACCACCACCACCCGCACCACCACCACCACCCGGGCGCCTTCTTCCGCTACATGCGCCAGCAGTGCATCAAGCAGGAGCTGATCTGCAAGTGGGTCGACCCCGAGCAGCTGGGTAGCCCCAAGAAGAGCTGCAACAAGACCTTCAGCACCATGCACGAGCTGGTCACCCACGTCTCCGTGGAGCACGTCGGCGGGCCCGAGCAGAGCAACCACATCTGCTTCTGGGAGGAGTGCCCCCGCGAGGGGAAGCCCTTCAAGGCCAAGTACAAGCTGGTCAATCACATCCGCGTCCACACGGGAGAGAAGCCCTTCCCCTGCCCCTTCCCCGGATGCGGAAAGGTCTTCGCCCGCTCTGAAAACCTCAAGATCCACAAGAGGACGCACACAGGTGGGATGCACGCTCCTTCCCTCTGCTTGTCTTCCTTCCCTCCCTTCCTCTTTCCTTCCTTTCCTTCCCTCCCTCCCTCCCTCCCTCCCTCCTTCCCTCTTTCCTTCTTTCCTTCCTTCCTTCCCTCCCTCTTGGGGTTGTGGAAGGGGAAAGGCGATGTCTATATATACAGGCAGTCCCCGAGTTACAAGGGACTCAGTGGGTAAGAGGAAAGGAAATGAGAATTAACTTCTGAAAGAGCATTGCTGTGAGTTTTCCGGGCTGTATGCCTTCCTTCCCTCCCTCCTTCCTTCTCTCCTGGAGTTGTGGAAGGGGAAAGGCGATGTGTCCATGAGTTACTTATAGACAGGCAGTCCATGAGTTACTTATAGACGACTCAGTTGGTAAGAGAAATCTACCCCTAGGAAAGGAAATTCGGAGTGGGGAAAAGGTGCCTCAAGCTTTATCCCCACTCCTTGTTTCAACAGCAAACCACGTTTTTCAAAATCCAATTCTTGCAGGGAGAGAAAGTGGGATGAAATCTACCCCTAGGAAAGGGATTTCACTCTTGAAAGAGTTATCATATGAATATGATGTCTCCAGTGAAGCTTTCTCACCAATCCTTGTTTCCACAACAAGCCACATGTTTCAACGCCCAATTCCCACAGGGACAGAAAGTGGGGTGAAATCTTCTGAAGAGGGGCACAGGCAGCAAAACAAACACCACTGGGGTGTTAACCCTTCCTTATGCTGTCCAAAGCTTATATATACGAAACACACAAACAAATTCAGCTTAAGAACAAACCTATAGAACGGCTCTTGTTCGTAATTTGGAGACTGCCTGTATATCTGTATTTTCTTGAGCCTAACAGGCAAACTCATTTAAGTTGTAACAACAGAGGGGGGGGGGGGAGGCATCATAAATTATAACAAAGCGATTCAAAATCGTATCTCGTGTTTAGAGATTTTTATATCGAAGGGAAAAGTGCGTCTCAGAAGCGAGAAAATGCAGTGTTTTTAAAATGCAAGGTGTTTTATCTTCTCCCCTCCGGCCTGCATGCCTTCCCCCCTCAAAGTAACTATTTCACTTTCTCAATCTGTCTGCAAAGAGAGCAGGAAACAGGGAAAGAAAACACAAAACAAGTCAAAACATGCCGGAGAAAGTCCGAGGACGGGGGAGCCTTAAACCCTGCAATCCTCGGCGCTCAGTGTTTTTTATTTTAATTTCTCAAACAAACTGATTTTTTCCCAAGGAAACCTCCTGAGCAGACCGATTAAGAAACGTTTTCCTTGGGGGGTTTTCCTCCCCCGAAGAGATGACTATTTGGGCCTAGAGAGTGACCTAAACAAACGCATTGGCCTTTGAAGGGGAGGTGCCTTTTGGAGCAGGGATTTGAAAGCACTCTGCATTTGGGGAGAGAGATGCTGTTTTCGAGGTGTCCCTTCTCTCTCTTGGCTCCCCACTCCCCAAGCGAGTTTTTTTTAAATAGGGGCTGCTTCTCATTAAATTTAAATGGGACGAGGCCAAACCATAAAACTTTCTCATTTCCAAAACTAAATCTCACTTGAGGCCGGCGAAGGCAGTTTTGCATCATTGTATTTGCATCACTGTACAAGCTGCAAGAGGGTTTAGGGTTGGCAAACCTTAGCGCGGGGACCACCCCCCCCCCCAACGTGAGGATCTGTGTCTCCTCACCCTAAATGGGTCTGGATGTGGGCAAAAATTAACAACAGGGTGGGTGGGGGGGAGCAAACGGGGAGCTAAATATTTGGGCGATTTCCGGGCGTCAATATTGACTGAAGGAAAAGAAGCCAAAGCTTGGAGATTGTGTGAGTGTTGAGAACGGGACTGAGGTGCGAGACGGGTTTTCTCAACCAAACCCGAGACGTGGATTCGGCGCCGCTTAAAGAGCGGATGTTTTTCAGAAACAATCGAGGTGCTAATGGAATTCCACGCGAAATCGCGCCCACGATTTCAGGAATGGGGGGGGGGGAGGAAGGGGAGAAGGAAGGAATTCCTCACACCGGCCGTGTTTGATTCCTCACACCTTTAAATGACTCGGAAATATCTGGCCAGCAATTCTGGGAAAAGGCCAAATGTGTTGTTTTCCTTTGCCTTTCCTTCTCTTTCCCCTCTCCCCAGATCTCTTTCCCCTTTCTAATCTTTGCTTGGGGGAGGGGGGCATTTTTTCCAGACCTTGGCTCGTTTGTGGATAGGGTCAAACCAAGGGGAAATGATGTGGCAAGATCTGTTTTCTTGAAAGGGGGGGGGGGGGTGTTTTCTAGCCTGTGCGTCCCTGTGTAGCACCAGATGAAATATTCATGTGTCTGGCGGACATACATCTCGCATCCTCTCCTTTTTCGCTTCTCGGGAAGCAACCCCCACAGGTTGTTTTGATACACTGTGGACATTTGGGATGCGTGTTCCTCCGAGCTAAAGCTAAAGTTGGAAGGAAATATTCCCGCCTAGGCTTTTGTTGGGTCTTTCCTGGGGCTTTGGCTTTGCTTTGAATGCGATTTTCCTGTTTCTGGGCGGGGGGGGGGGGGGATGCCCCACGAAGTCTCTTCTAGCTCAATGATTCTATGATTCTGTCCTGATTTATTTTGAAACCAGGATCCTATGCAATTGATTCCCTTCTTGCGAAGACTGTGGCTGAATCTACATGGTCAAATAGTGCAGCTTCAACTGCTTTATTTCCTCAGTATAATCCTGCACTTTGAACTACATTTTTATGTGACTATATAAAGAAGTTCAAACTGCACTGTTTGCCAGTGCAGGCTTAGCCATCAATGGTTCGATGGAAGGAAAGCAACCCAAGCTGTTCAACTGCTTCTGGGGTCGCTCTCCATCCCGGTTTGTTTTGCTTCTGGAGAAGGCTGTTTGAGGTGTCTGTCTCTCTGCGTGTTTGTTCCCCCTTTTTTAATGGCTGTTATTTTTCTTCTTATTGTTGTTTCGGCGGCTTTGCAGGCGAGAAGCCCTTCCAGTGCGAGTTCGAGGGCTGCGACCGGCGCTTCGCCAACAGCAGCGACCGGAAAAAGCACATGCACGTCCACACCTCGGACAAACCCTACCTGTGCAAGATGTGCGACAAGTCCTACACTCACCCCAGCTCCCTGCGGAAACACATGAAGGTAATCCGCAGGCAGTGACTAGCCAAGAGGACGGGGAGAGGAGGAGGAGGAGGAAGAGGAACTGGAGAAGACTGTGGGGAGGTACCTCCTTCCTCTTCCTCTTCTTCCTCTTCCTCTTCCTCATCGAAAGTCCGGGGAAAACTGGGGAGTGAGCGCTGAGGTCCCCGGGAAGCTGCGGGTTGAGGGGGACCTAAGAAGACAAGGCAACAACAACAAAAATAATAGAGGAAAGGGAAGGCCATAGGACAGTGTTTCTCAACCTGTGAGTCCCCAGATGTTTTGGCCTTCAACTCGCAGAATTATTCACAGCTGGTTAACTGGCTGGGATTTCTGGGAGTTGGAGGCCATAACACCTGGAGACCCACAAGTTGAGAACTACTGTCCCATAACTAAGGAATGTATAAAATGTCATTTAAGGAATATTTATTTTTGGAATAATGTATATAGAAATAAGTCCTGTGTGGCAAAATTTTGTTGATTGTTGGGATGTATCAAATAAAGTTTAAAAAAAACACCCGGGGACACACAAGTTGAGAACCATTGCCATAGGGGGGCTTAGCTTGAGTGCTTTAGGGTTTGGCTCCTGGGGCTGGGAAGAGAAAAGCCCTTCCCTGTTTTTGCATGGCTTGGAGGAAAAGGAGGCCCCACCTACACAGACCATTTGAGGCAGTGTGAAGCCTCCAGGCCGCAAAATAAAGCCTTTAACGCGGATCGCTGCTCTGCGGTTTGGCCCGGGTGGGTCATCACCACCCGGGCCTCAAAGCGGTTCCAGGATTTCCTCTGGAGTCCTCTGCACAACATTGGAAAGCGCTTGAAATGGCCAGTCTCAGTGGGGTCTCTGCGGAGTGGAGCTGGAGAGAAAGAAGGGAAGGGGAGGGGGTTCCTTGGGCCCGAGGCAGCTTCTGAGCCTCTCTCTCCCCCTCTACCCCCCCCCCCCCTTGGTCCATAGGTCCACGAGGCTTCCCCGCAGGGCTCGGAGTCCTCCCCGGCGGCCAGCTCGGGCTACGAGTCCTCCACGCCGCCGGGCTTGGTCTCCCCCACCGCCGAGGCCCAAAGCAACGCAGGCGGCGGAGGCAGCAGCAACTTGTCCCCGGCCACGGCGGCGGCCTCGCACCGGAGCAGCGCCGGCTCGGGAGCCTCGGGCGGAGGCGGCGGCGGCGGGACCGGGAATGGCGGCGGCGTCCCCCACAGCGGCCTCACTTCCAACTTCAACGAGTGGTACGTCTGAGGCCCCCCCTCTCTCCCTTTTGTGCGGATCGGGACGCCGCCGACTGACTGAGGAGGGGAGGGCAGGGGAAGAAGGAAGGAAGGAAGAGGGAGGGGGAGCCTCGCCTGGTCTTTCAAAGGAAGAAAGAAAGAACGGATTAAAAGCGGGCCCAGAAAGGGGTCTTTCCCGCCTCGCCTCGCCTCGCCCCCGGCGCCTGAGGAACAAAAGACCCGGAGGGATGGAGGCGCCTCCTTGGACCGGCTCCTCTCTCTCCCTCCATCCCTCCATCTCTCTCCAAGCTTTTCTGTGGACGCTGGAGGCCTCCGAGGTGGTAACCGAAGCTTTCTCGGTGTATAGAGATGGGTTTGCCTTGGGAAAGCATGCATTGGGTTCTCCTTTTCCTCCTCCATCGTCGCCCCTTGGGCCCCCTTCCCTCTCTTCTCCCTCTTTTGGAAACGGATTCTTCAACCCAGAACCTGCTCTGCTCTCCAGTCTGCCTGCCTGCCTTCTCTAGCCCGTCTCTCCTTCCATCTCCATCCTCTTTTGAAAAGGACTTCTTCTCCATCCTCAAACCGCCCAGCCGACCTCCACTTTGCCTGCTTGCTCTCTTCTTCCCCCTCCTCCAACATCACCATCCTTATTTAACTCTCTTCTATTTCAATTATTTGGAGTAAGTAGGCTTTGCCTCCGTCCTCCCCTCCTCTTCCTTCACCCTCATTATCCTCCTCTTTTCCTCCTCCTCCTCAAACATCACCATTCCCTTTCCCCCTTCTCTTCTCCTTTTTCATTCTTTTCCATCCCTAAACCGCAACCTGCTCTCCCCTTTGCCTTCTTCCTCCCCTTCGATCCTCATCATGGCCCTCCTCTTTTCCTCCTTTCATCCTTTTCCCCTCTTTTTCTTCTATTTCAATCATTTGGGAGAAAGTAGGCTCTCCACTTTGCCTACTTATTCTCTTCCTCCTCCTCCTCCAACATCATTATCGTTTTTCCTCCTTCTCTTCTTCTATCTCAATTATTTGGTAGGACGTTGGCCCTCTCCTTTGCCTTCACCCTCCCCCCCTCTTCCTTCACCATCGTTATCCTCCTATTTTCCTCCTCCTCCTCTAACATCTCCATCCTTTTTTCCTCCTCTTCTGCTTTTTTCCATTCTTTTCCATCCCCAAACCTCCAATTGGCTGTCCCCTTTGCCTCCTTCCTTCCCTCCTCTTTCTTCATTACCGTTATACTCTTTTCTTCCCCATTTCGTCCTCTTTTCCTCCTCCTCCAACATCTCCATGCTTTTTTCCTCCTTCTGCTTTTTCCATTCTTTTGCATCCCCAAACCGGCCGACTGGCTCTCCCCTGTGCCCCCTTCCTCCCCTCTTCTTCCTTCACCATCATGATCCTCCTCGTTTCCTCCTCCTCCTCCTCTTCTCCTTCTTCAATCCTTGTCCTACCTGCCTGCCTTTCCCCTGCACTTCTCTCCCTCCCCCTTTCTGTGATCTTCCATTCACTCATTTTTTAAAAAAACTAGTAAATGAAATAAAAAGGGGAAAGGGAGTTGGGGGGAGGGAGGAGGGAAGTAACGTGGAAGCCAATGGTTCCTTTTGTAATTGTGGTATTGAATATTGTGTTTCCTTTTATTCTTAATTTAAATTTTTTTCTAAAAGAGGCAACTTTTGATTGTAAACGTCGTTCAGCTCTAGACTGGAAAGATTTTTTTTAAAACAAAAAAGCGAAAAGGAAAAACAAACAAAAAGTACCCAAACCAACCCAACACACGTGCCAAAGTCTCTCTCCGCGCGCGCGCTCTTCTGCAGAACCCCCCCCCCCCCCGGCCCTCCCCGCCCTGCCCCCTCCTCTTCCTTCCAAGGCTTGTGAATGTATTTTTTTCTGTTAGCTGGGTTTCCCTGTGATGTTTTAGTGCTCTTTGCCAGTCCGGTTTGTTAGCTCCTGTCTGGAAGTTTGTCGGGAGAGGGGGAGGGGGGCGTTTTTCTCTCTCAATATAGTGCCATTAGGGTTTCCCCATCCAAAAAGCGACCTTCCTTGTGTAAATACCTGTTGCCATATTTATCCATTTGTAATTAAATTATGGTATTAACTTGCTACAGATGAAACAGTATTTATAAAGAATGTTTCTTAACTATAAATATGTACAATTGTGAGCATAAACTGTTTCGGATTTTTTTTATTTGAAGGTTTATGTGGTTTCATTTCTTGTGATATTGTTTTTTGTTTTTTTGAGAGTAATGCATACAGAAATATAATAAAATGTGTTGGAAACTAGTCACAGGTATTTTTCCCTGTGGTATTTCTTGAGATGCCATGTATTTTTCTTATTTTTGGTCCATGTGTGTCTAAAAACAGGTTTGGTTCTTTACAAAATTCTTTTATTTTTTTTAAAATAGTCAAAATTTAAGTATATAAATGATAGATAGCAGAAAAAAGAGAAATAGCATTAGTTCTATTTAACCAGTTGCATTTAACTATTTTCAGTTTAAAAAAATAAAAATCATATATATATTTATATTAAAAATCATATAATTTTTAAACAAATCATATATTTTTAAATCATACACACACACACACACAATTTAAATGCATAATGGTTTCAATAATACCTAAAATCAAAGCAAAATTGCATAACCCGTGTCGACTTCCCTATCAAGAAGTCTGCTTTAATATCATGGTTTTTAGGATTTCCACACAACTGAATAAAATCCCACATTTTCTGCTTTGAACTGGAATATATGGCAGTGTGGACGCAGATAACCCAGTTCAAAGTAGACATGGTGAGATTTTTCTGCCTTGATATGCCTTGATATTTCTGCCTTGATATGATTTTTCTGCCTTTCTGCCTTGATATGGCTGCGTGAAAGGGCCCACAGATAACCCAGTTCAAAGCAGATATTGTGGGATTTTCTGCCTTGATATTCTGGATTATATGGTTGTGTGGAAGGGACCTGAGTGAATATACTATAGATAGTCTTTTGGCTCACTCAGGATTTGGAAAAAGAGCCCTGGTAAAGTGGAAACTTTACCTAGGTCGTCGAAGGCTTTCATGGCCGGAATTACTGGGTTGCTGTGAGTTTTCCGGGCTGCATGGCCATCTTCCAGAAGCATTCTTTCCTGACGTTTCACGCACATCTATGACAGGCTAGATGTGGGCGAAACGTCAGGAAAGAATGCTTCTGGAATATGGTCATATAGGCCGGAAAACTCACAGCAACCCAGTTATCTAGGTCGTTCACACCTTCCCTGTTGGAAATCAATTGACTAGAACAAACATTTAAAACTTCCTAGTATTTCAATGTAAACATTAAATTTGACCCTCCTTATATCCCTATATACATTATCGGCCCTTTGCTTTGCAAATTGCTAGAATAGCCCCCCTCCACAAAACTCACCTCTTTATGTAATTATGTATTTTCTTCTTTATCTTAATTCTTTCCCAGAAAAAAAATATACCAAATGAAACAAAACCACACTAACAATGATCACTGTTATTCCCGGATTAAACCCCGTCCCCTTCTTTTTAAGGGCCGTCAGGACTCCAACAGAGCGTGAAGCATGAATCCCAGTGTTTAAACTGGAGTCACTTCCGATTAAACTCCTGTAAACCATACCTCTCCGATGAGAAAGTGGACTCACGATGGGATACAAGGGATACACAGTATATTCTAGATTGTATTGATGTTGCAGCTGCTCTCTCGCCACCTCGAAGGGTAGATATTTATAATGTGAAGGCCAGACCTCATTTGGTATGGTTGGAAATCTTTTAGGGCATGAGGGGCTTTTCGGCAATTTATATTAACCTTCCCTATATTTTCAGCTTTCCTCTTTTCTCGTTTTCATCCACTCTCTTGTTCGGAATCCGAAACCAGGGCTGGATCTACACTGCTAAATAATGCGGCTGAGAAGGACATCCTATGCTCAGAGTAGATCTGCATTGTCCCTATAATGCAGTTCAAGCTGCATTATTTGGGAGTGCGGATCCAGCTCTGTTTTATTTCCAGGGCAAGCTTTCGAGGAATCAGGATGTGGAGTGGGCTCCAAACCCTCGAAAACCTGGCCTCTGCCCAAAAGCCGGTGCCAGCCACCTGGGCACCGAAATCCCTTTGAAAAAGAGGCCCGCAGTTTCCTTTCCTTCTCCAAAGCCCTCGGAAGTGTGCTCCTGGCATGGCGCCGGGCAAAAGCCTCGCGAAGGATGCCTTTTTCCTCCCTCGTTTGCCTTGCTTTGCCTCCAAGGCCGGCCGGCCTCCCTCCCTCCCTCCCCGCTTGGCTCCTGTTTGGGAAGGAGAGGAGCAAGCCTCGCGCCAGTCTCGAGCCCCTCGCCCTGCAAAACACACACAGCCCATACGGCCCGCTTCCTCCTTCCCTCCTTCGTGGGATTTTGGCGACAGGCTCCTTTCGGGGGAGAAGAGTCCCCCTTTCCAAGGAAAGAATGAAGGCTGTGTGCCCTTCCTCGCCAAAGCTCCTTTTGAAATAGTCAAATGCCAGAAAAAATGGGAGAGAAAAGGGCCCAAGCCTGGCCAACTTCCTTCTCCTTCCTCTTTGGCACGCGCCTTCTCCTTCACGTCCTAATGCCAACACCCCGAATGACTATTACAATCTCATTTCATTATTTAATGATTATTTCATGATTCCCAACCATTCTCCCCGAATTGTTAAAATTACAATAGTTAACGATAGCTCTGGTTGGTGAGTTGCGGCAGGGAGGGCAACAGAGAGACCCCAAAATACTTCCGAAAGGCTACATTTTGGGTTGCGCCCTTCTCCCCCTTAAGCCCCCTTCCTCCGTTGCCCCATTCATTCACCAGAATCACCACTCTCCCCCTCTTAATAAGGCAGCCTTCCTTGCTTTGGTTTAGTTGTCTAAACCAACTCGGTCTGAATTTGGGGGTGCCGCCGTCCCTTCTCGCATCTTCTCTCCCTAGGGTTCCTTCTTGGCCTTGGAGCAAATGGGAAGAAGCTGGGGAAGGCGGCATTGAAGGAGGCGAGTGCAGCGAGGAAAAGCTTTTTCCCCCCTCCTTGGGTGAAGGTCTTGGCGAGGGAGCCGCTTTCCAGTTTCTCCAGCCCCATCTGACTGGTGGTTTCAAAGCGGAATGGAAGGAAGAGCTTTCTTCTCCGTGAAAATGGTTATGTGGGGAATCAAGAGTCCCCTCTACACTGGCTAGCTTCGAACGGCGTTAAAGGCCAGTGTAGAGGGGCCTCAGCCTCCAGCGAGGCAAGAACGGGGAGAAAGACCTTCGGCGTCCCCTTTGCCTTCAGAGGAAGGAGGGCGAAGGAAGGCGAGGAGGGCTCTCCGAGGTCTCCCTGCGCCGCTCCGGGCCTCGCCGTGAACTTGACCTCGGGCTGCCCCCCGTTCATTCCCATGCACCCCGCCTCCCCCTCCCCCTCCCCCCAGCAATCCGGATGAGGAAAGGCGACAGGGACGTGTGTCCAGGCAGCTCGGCGGCGATAGAGACACCTCCGGGTGACAGGCCGCGCCTCCCGCAAGACCCGCGCTTCCTCCATCAGCCAGTGCCATGGACGGCGCGGAGAAGAATGGAGGCAGGGCAAGGCGGACAAAAATCATGCCAGCCGACAACATCCCGGGCTTTCTTTCTTTCTTTACCGGTGCCCATCCTAAACACACGCTTATATTCAGACCTGAACTGCGAGCCGCCTCTACGTCCAGGCAAGAGAAAGGCCTGGGTTGGATCCACACAGCATGATGTGGTCACTGTAGACTCATATAATGCAGTTCAATGAGCATTATGGGGAGTCTACACTGAACATATATCGCAGGCTAACTGCATTCCATGGCAGTATGGACTCAGTCTTGCTTCAGTGCCTGCAAGAGCGGATCCGAGGCTGATCGAAGAGACTCTAAGCTAGAGAATAGTTGCAATGCACTTTCTCTACACCGTTTCCTCCAGCTCCTTCCCTCCTTCCTTCCTTCCCTCCCTCCCTCCTTTTATCCTTCCTTCCTTCTTTCCCTCTCTCCTTCCTTCCTTCTTTCTTTCTTTCCTTCTTTCCTTCCCTCCCTCCTCCCTCTCTCCTTTCTTTCCTTCCCTCCCCCTTCTTCCTACCTTCCTTCCTTCTTTCTTTCCCACCCTCCGTTCTTTCCCTCCCTCCTCCTTTCTTTTTCTTTCTTTCTTTCTTTCTTTCTTTCTTTCTTTCTTTCTTTCCTTCCTTCCTTCCTTCCTTCTCTCCTTCCTTCCTTCCTTCCTTCCTTCCTTCTTTCCTCCCTCCCTCCCTCCCTCCTCCTCCTTTCTTTCTTTCTTTCTTTCTTTCTTTCTTTCTTTCTTTCTTTCTTTCCCTCCTTCCCTCTCTCATTTCTTCCTTCCTTCCTTCCTTCCAACCGAGGCCTCCCTGACTTTGACTTGACCCCCCCCCCTCGCCCAGACTTCAGGGAGTGTAGCACGACCCCAAGAAGCCAGAATACTCCACTGAGGGTTTAGTAGTCCACCCGACAGGTGTCCATAAGCAGTGGAAATAAACATGCCCTGAGCCGTTTAGTAGGAGGACGGAGGGCTCGTCTACTATTGCTCGCGGGGAGGCCAGGCTTAACATCCCCACTTGGCCATGGAAGCCTATTGTGAGGCCTTAGGCTAGACACGCTGTCTCAACCTTAGAGGAAGGCGAAGGCAATCCCTTTCTGAACAATTAGTGGTAAAAATCACTAAGCGGTTTGAAGGTCACAATGACAAGAAGCCGGGAGTAGTTGTGGGGAGGAGGAGCGACATTCCCGCCATCGCAGCAGGAATTCTTCGTTGCCAAAGCGAGACTTTGGATCCAAAGGTCCCATTTGAGTTTCACTCCATCAGGCAGAAGGGGACTTTTGAGAAAGGCGGTGGCCACGAAGTCCCTCCAGTCTTCTTCCTTTTCCTTCTCTCTCGTGCCCACTTTCAATCCAAAGTGTAAACAAGGACGTGGCCAGAAGGGGCCTGGAGGCGAAGCCGCTGCCATTCTGAATTCGGGTTTGAGAGGCTTCGGCGAAGAAGCAAACATGGCTCTCCCTCGGCCCAGCCGGAGTGTGGCGCTTTGGAAACACGGCCATTCTAGCCAAGCACGTGTTTGGGCCTCCAAACTTGATCTCCATTTGCGTAAGGCGGATGGAGAGCAGATTTGTTCCTCCGTTGGCTGGGCAGGAGAAGCGCCACGGGCTCCCAAGGAAGTTCCCTTTCGGAAGGGCTCCCCTTCTCTCGCCTGTTTGCTCCAAGACGACTGAAAGGAAAGAGCCTAAGGGAGACCTTTGAATGCAAAGCTGGCGGGGAGGCTTGGGGTGGTTTTTAGGGGCG